TGGTGGGGGAGACCTCCTCTTTCGATCCCCCCCATCATCTAGACCTTTACCGAAAAGTTTTATAGAATCACATAAAAAATATTTGAACTCGTCAATTTTAAATTTCAAAAATGACTACAAAAATAAATATTTCAGTACAATAGATGATATAAAAAAGATTAGTGCAGATTACGTAACAACTGAGCTAGTATATTAGTTTGCTAGGTATGATCGCCTTATTTCTCACAACCTAATTTATAACAATAAATTTTAACAAAAAATATTAAAATTGTATAAGTCAACTTGAGAACGTTGCTGGGAATACGTGGAGTGTACCAGGGCACAGGACAAACGGCTTCCCATAATAGTGTACATCTGAACAAAAGGATAATGTGAGTAACTAGCAAAAGCGCGAATATATTGAAGGACGTTCATATATGTATACGAGTATACAATGTAGACCACAAAAGAACGCTGACAGTTTGACTGACAGCAAAGTATTACTAATTGTTATAAGTTAAATTCATGTTCAGAGAATTTCGAAATTGTTTCTAACCGTCTATTCAAATAAAAAGAAAGAATTTTATAGAAAAGTATGATCTTATTCTTCACTATAAAGTAAATTATTCTTCATTATCAATAATTGTAGATGTACTTTATTGGAATTATTTTAATATTAAAGGTCACAAAGCAGACGCCACTGTCAATGTTGTTATCTTCCAATATTGCGCACTCCTTTGAAATCTTAAAGTAAGCGAGATTGTAAAGCGTTTTAAATTTCAAGAATGGAGGTGGAGGTCAATTTTACTTGTAAAGGCGCGTTTAGAATAAGGAAGTAAGAGCACAAGACGCGAATGTTCGTTTTATCAAAACAGTCATCGAACAAATTGCCAAGAAAACAGTTTATTATAATCTGAGTATCAAAATTCCAACTATATAGTGAAGTTAAAAAATATCTTTTTGTAGGTAGGTATTTTTCGTATATCAAATTATACGGTACCTACTTACTTTCTCCTTTCAGCCCAAAGCATTCATTAATACTTTGTTTAATTCATGAAGTATACAAAAAAGAGTTGAACAAGGAATTTTGATTTTTGGAGTTCGTTCTTTTATGGCGATTTTTGTGAAACTATAAATTGCTTTCAATTACGAAAAGTTATTTTGAATAGCAGAGATAAATAAGTGAAAACAATCGCCTTAATTTTTCTATTCCTCATAAGTACATTACGACGTTGAGGANACCTTCATGCCTGAGAAGGTGTCCTACCAACCTATCTCGCCTATTTTTTATTGACTTCCATAGGTAAATAAATGCGTGTATAATACATTAAATTACATATATAAAATTAACACGTATTGTAAATGATCTTTTGTAAAATGACTCCGCTTTGTCAAATTAATTTCTGTGTGAGTAATCTTTGTTGTAACGATTAAAAATTAATGAGATCAGCGCAAAAGCTAGCGCTCAACAGACACAGCCTTTTATATAATTTATCTAAATTATTGGAAACCTTGTCCCAAAAGTTCTTGATCCAATAGAAAAAGTGTAAACACCTGATGATAAAGGCCAATAATGGCTTAACAAAACCATTAAAATGTAATAATGTCAATAAACTTGAAAACTTACAGATTATACAGCTTTTGGCCCCAAAAGAACCTTGGAATTAAAATAGAAAACAAATCCCATATAATAAGCGTTTTGTTGACCTTACTTATTGAGGCATTTGTAAGCGAGCAATTTATAACCAGGTCACTTTCGCCTCCTAGAACAAACGAACGAGCGCATTTGTTTCATAAAACTGAATTCGATAATGTCATCCTCACCTTGCACGTTGCCTTTTAATAAGTATGAAAGTGCAACTACAAGAACGGAATTTACGATCAGCTGGAGCTATTACGTAAATATTAATTTACTGCTAAATTGACTAGAATTCCTTGGAACTCTACCACCGTGAATTTGTAACGGTAAATGTGTGATGGTAAAACCTATTATGAAATTTTGTAGACACATTTTCAGGGGTACAAAAAAGGACATAAGGTACATTTTATTAGTGTCCGACCGAAACTGGTTTTTACGACCGAAACCGAAACCGAATTTCGGCAACGGTCTCAGTTTCGGCCGAAACCGAAACCGAAACTTCCTTATAAGGATCATGTTTTGAGAGAAAAATAAAGAAAACGTTATTATAATCAGTCAGTTTTATTTTTTTATCTTTAAATCACATAGCTCTGCAGTCTTTNACGCGAGCGGAGATGCGAGTGAAACCTAAACACGTCTTCTAAGGTTTCTAGTAATACAAAATGAATGAAAATTTAGTCAGAATGAAAATGTAATTGTCCAACAAAATCCTTCTAACAATAATTACTTTTAAACTAGAACTATTAAATAATGCAGTTTTAAACAAATTGTTTTTTAGACATGACATTTATCGTTTCAATGCATCGTAATCTTATCAAAAACATTAAGACACTAATTATACTTTTCTTCTCTAATTAACGTGACTAATTAGTTGCAGTTTAAGTTCGTCGTTTCTAGACTTTGCTTGTCTACTTAATAGTAATTGCACACCTAATTTTAAAAGTTTTGTGATATTTCAGAACTGTCAAATAACGAAAGTATCAGGAATTATAATTTGTATATAATTTGTTTACATGTGGCTAATGTTCGCTACCATTATATCTACATATTTAATTAGTTTTTCAAATATTTCTGTCTTTTATGTAATATTTACTAATTGTGTCGGCTGGTATTAATATAAATAAATAATTAAGGCTTTCGCCGAGACAAATCGGCAGCCTACTAAAATACTTCCTAGCTTTCACCAAAGTGTGCTTTTAAACGAAACAAAAAGCATTTCTTATCTGATTTGATTTGAAAATTTCACCAATTTTGCACCATCACAAGGTCG